GGGCGGTGGGGGGGCGTTTTCGGGAATTTTTTTGTCCAAGACCCCATGAGAAATTCACAATGTTCACAATTTTTTTTTCAATTTTTGTCAATATATTGAAGATTTTATTTTTTAAAAGTTTTTAGTTTATGATGCATGTTAAAACATTTTTCTGCAAATACACTTTTTCTTACCGAAAGAAAAGCCTTTAATTCAGCCATCACTGATTTGGTTAGCAACTGTCGTCGCGTTTTATGTTTCTATATAAAATTGTCTTAGTTATTAGTCAATCATCACACAATCTCTCCTCTTTTGCTAGGAGCAAAGATATCTGGATCATGTTGTCAGCAAAGTTTCATGTTTTGTTTCTGTTTGATTTTCAGAGTGATATCGTCGCCCGAGACGAAATTCTGGCCCTATTTGCTGCTCATGTCGCAGCTATCAACAAAATTTACTCCGAAACAAGATTTGAAACTTACGAAAAAGATGCTAACAAAGGCGGGTTTAGCTACGAAGGGGTTCATTTCCAGGTTCAAAGGACGTCGGTGAGCGGTTTTAACTTTTCAACTCACATGGCCCAGATATTTAGTGAATTCAACACCTTTGAAATAATTTTAAAAAATGTAAATGGGTCGTTGAAGGCTGTGCATCTAGTTTCGATTTTCTTCCTTAGTTTGCTTCACTAATTATTATTTTGTTTCATGATCACAATTTGGTAGATATCTGATAAAGGGAAGTAACTCACACAGCGAAAAGGAGCAAAGGGTTATAATATACTCAGACATTATATCTAACCAACAGATGATTTCCAAAGGAAAAAAAATAAAATAAAAAAAAATGTCACTCTAAGTCCCAATATTTTTGCCTCCTGGCATTCTTCCAGGGCGAAAGTCAACGCTTGTTTCAAGTAACATTTTATTCCTTCCACAGATAATGACAAAGGAATCAGAAAAATGTGACAGCATTTTAGGGGCTACATCGTATTGTAATCCCAATATCGATGTCAGCAACTTCCTAAATCTCAACTCTTTGGAAAACCACGATGAGTTTTGCCTGGCGTACGTCTTTACAGCACGCGATTTTACCCAGGGTACACTGGGGCTCGCCTGGGTCGGATCTTACAAAAGTAGGTCATACTTGCGGAAAAAGAAAACACATAACATTCAACTAAGCGAAAAGTTCAGGGTTAGGAAAATCAAATTCTTGAAAGTTAAGTGACGGACCAGAAAATATTCATATGTAGAATTTATCATAATATTTTGATAATTTAAATCTGGGTCAATATTGGGGAAAGTAATTCCAAATCAGGAAAAATATTAAGTAAAATGAGATAAACTTTTTGAAACTTTCAGATGTAGAAAATATATATATATTTGTTATATTATAATATATATTGAATCCACTGTCCATAATATTCCTTCATAAGTTACTAGAAAAGACAGACAATTAAAAATAGGAAAATTATTAAACAAACAAAGCAAAAGAAAAAAACTTTTAACAGTTGTACATGTCAAATTTTCATTATTTATTTATTTTTTCATTATTGTTCACACAAAGAAATATGGACGAGACAAAAAAAAAGGGAAAAAATACTGAAAACAATAAACAATACAGGTGTTCCATATTATTTAAAAATTATAAGTTTATGTTTTCACTCAAACTTTTAAAGATGCTGCTGGCGGGATCTGTGAGAAATATAAACAGTTCCCGGAGGGATCAGCAAAGGTACACAAGTCTCTAAACACTGGGATTATCACTCTCATCAACTACGGCCGCGAAGTGGCACCGCGAGTCTCCCACCTCACCTTCGCTCACGAGGTCGGACACAACTTTGGCTCTCCTGTAAGTATTAGGAATTCGTCTAGTTGTGTGTTTCTACACGTGATACAGCGAGAATCATACACACAGAATATACATACGCATTTTGTGTTTTATTCTGTTGTATATAACACTGTTTACATGTCGGTTGTTAATCGTCCATATTGTGTATGTAATATGTATATATTATGTGTTTAACAGGGCCATATTGTAAACTAGACAAACGTCTAAATATGTTACCCTGTCTAAATAAAAGAATTTATTATTATTATTATTATTGCATACTATATGCCAGGAAATTTTCGATTTTCGATTGTATGATACAATAAATACAAAATAAGGATATGTATGATACAATAAATACAAAATAAGGATATGTATGATACAATACATACAAAATATGGAATAAGTATGATACAATACATACAAAATAAGGATAGGTATGATACAATACATACAAAATAAGGATAGGTATGATACAATACATACAAAATAAGGATAGGTATGATACAATACATACAAAATAAGGATAGGTATGATACAATACATACAAAATAAGGATAGGTATGATACAATACATACAAAATAAGGATAGGTATGATACAATACATACAAAATAAGGATAGGTATGATACAATACATACAAAATAAGGATAGGTATGATACAATACATACAAAATAAGGATAGGTATGATACAATACATACAAAATAAGGATAGGTATGATACAATACATACAAAATAAGGATAGGTATGATACAATACATACAAAATAAGGATAGGTATGATACAATACATACAAAATAAGGATAGGTATGATACAATACATACAAAATAAGGATAGGTATGATACAATACATACAAAATAAGGATAGGTATGATACAATACATACAAAATAAGGATAGGTATGATACAATACATACAAAATAAGGATAGGTATGATACAATACATACAAAATAAGGATAGGTATGATACAATACATACAAAATAAGGATAGGTATGATACAATACATACAAAATAAGGATAGGTATGATACAATACATACAAAATAAGGATAGGTATGATACAATACATACAAAATAAGGATAGGTATGATACAATACATACAAAATAAGGATAGGTATGATACAATACATACAAAATAAGGATAGGTATGATACAATACATACAAAATAAGGATAGGTATGATACAATACATACAAAATAAGGATAGGTATGATACAATACATACAAAATAAGGATAGGTATGATACAATACATACAAAATAAGGATAGGTATGATACAATACATACAAAATAAGGATAGGTATGATACAATACATACAAAATAAGGATAGGTATGATACAATACATACAAAATAAGGATAGGTATGATACAATACATACAAAATAAGGATAGGTATGATACAATACATACAAAATAAGGATAGGTATGATACAATACATACAAAATAAGGATAGGTATGATACAATACATACAAAATAAGGATAGGTATGATACAATACATACAAAATAAGGATAGGTATGATACAATACATACAAAATAAGGATAGGTATGATACAATACATACAAAATAAGGATAGGTATGATACAATACATACAAAATAAGGATAGGTATGATACAATACATACAAAATAAGGATAGGTATGATACAATACATACAAAATAAGGATAGGTATGATACAATACATACAAAATAAGGATAGGTATGATACAATACATACAAAATAAGGATAGGTATGATACAATACATACAAAATAAGGATAGGTATGATACAATACATACAAAATAAGGATAGGTATGATACAATACATACAAAATAAGGATAGGTATGATACAATACATACAAAATAAGGATAGGTATGATACAATACATACAAAATAAGGATAGGTATGATACAATACATACAAAATAAGGATAGGTATGATACAATACATACAAAATAAGGATAGGTATGATACAATACATACAAAATAAGGATAGGTATGATACAATACATACAAAATAAGGATAGGTATGATACAATACATACAAAATAAGGATAGGTATGATACAATACATACAAAATAAGGATAGGTATGATACAATACATACAAAATAAGGATAGGTATGATACAATACATACAAAATAAGGATAGGTATGATACAATACATACAAAATAAGGATAGGTATGATACAATACATACAAAATAAGGATAGGTATGATACAATACATACAAAATAAGGATAGGTATGATACAATACATACAAAATAAGGATAGGTATGATACAATACATACAAAATAAGGATAGGTATGATACAATACATACAAAATAAGGATAGGTATGATACAATACATACAAAATAAGGATAGGTATGATACAATACATACAAAATAAGGATAGGTATGATACAATACATACAAAATAAGGATAGGTATGATACAATACATACAAAATAAGGATAGGTATGATACAATACATACAAAATAAGGATAGGTATGATACAATACATACAAAATAAGGATAGGTATGATACAATACATACAAAATAAGGATAGGTATGATACAATACATACAAAATAAGGATAGGTATGATACAATACATCCAAAATAAGGATAGGTATGATACAACACATACAAAATAAGGATATGTATGATACAATACATACAAAATAAGGATATCTATGATACAATACATACAAAATATGAAAACGATATAACATGATGCTTATTCAATACTCTACACACATAAGAAAAAGCATAGTAGAACTGCATGGTAAAGGAAATAACTGTTTTCAGCAATCAATTTACTCCATCAAAAACTTAACAATTTAATTTATTTATCTTAATACTGTGTTACCTTGTTGCGCAGCATGACAGTGGTAATAATTGTGCACCGTTTGGGACGGGCACGTCCGAGGCTGTCAACGGAAACTACATCATGTATGCAAGCGCCACACAGGGCGACCTTTCCAACAACAACAAGTTCTCCGATTGTAGCAAGGACAACATCTCACGTGTCCTCCGCTCCATCCAGAACGAGACCAACAAGAAAAATTGCTTCAAACGTAAGTAACATGTCACGCTTCAAGTTCAAGGTTCAAGAACAAGCTTACGTTGCAGTCTGCTGCAAAGTTTATTGTCAATTTTATTGTTTACTTGCTCCTCCGAAATCAGTTTTGTCTTCTTCATCCAGTTTGTAAATTATTGACTACTTTCTCCTGGTGTTTTATGGCATTGGTCTTGTAGAAATAGACAAAGAAGGTTGCAATACATTGTTAACTACTTTCTTCTGTTGAAACATTATTGCCTACTTTCTCCTGTTGATACAGTATTGCCTACTTTTTCCTGTTGATACATCATTATTGCCTACATTCTCCTGTTGATAAGACAGTATTGCCTACTTTCTCCTGTTGATACATTATTGCCTACTTTCTCCTGTTGATAAGACATTATTGCCTACTTTCTCCTGTTGATACATCAGTATTGCCTACTTTCTCCTGTAGATAAGACATTATTGCCTACTTTCTCCTGTAGAGTCTGGCGTGGCGTTCTGCGGTAACGGCCTGGTTGAAGAAGATGAGGAGTGTGACTGTGGATATTTGGACGACTGTAAAGATACGTGCTGTCATGCCAAACAGTCGGGGAAAACAACAACGGACGACTGTAAACTACGCCGCGACAATTCAGGAAATAAATACAGCTGCAGGTAGTTTTCGTAACTTTATGTAGCTTCTTTGGCTGTAGCGTGTAGTAACACAGATGTATGTGTATAAATAAATACATTGATGAAGAAATATTCAAACTCATCAAGATCTCGAGCATTCTGGTATAAACGATAACAAAGATTACTGCTGTGTTTTCAACATGACTCATTCAAATTATGGTTATATCATTAATGTAGATAGTATTTAGGAGGTTTCTGAAACTGTTGATTGATGAAACATAGTATTTATTAGTGATCTATTTGTGAGGTTGTACATCATTCTGAATCATGAAAATTGCGTTGGTATGGGTTGTGTTTTGATTAACCTGTACAGAACTCTACACCTGTTACAAGCTTTTGGTCAGTACGGCCTGCAAAACAGCAGACCTGTTCATTCAAACCTTGTTGGTTTTTCATGTGCTTAGCAGCCAGTATACACTGAATAGTTTGATTTGTTTAAACTTTTCACAAATGTTGATCCTGATTTTCTGTTTACAGCCCTACACAAGGCCCATGCTGTCTCGCTACATGCAACTTTGTCCAACCAAGTGCCAACCAGACTTGTCGCGTTGGAACCGATTGTGTAAAGCGTGCCACTTGCTCATATCCTTTGATTACTTCCCCACGTATTGTCTCCCAGTTTGATTACCTCCCCTCCCCCAAAGCTGATTCTACTAGAATTATTTTAAGGTCGTTAAACGGCTCCATTTCCCGGCCTTAATGGTTAACGTTCGAAATACTGAAGTTTACTTAAAAAAAAAATCTGAAACATGCAGTGTGCTTAACTCATTCACCCCTGAAATATCATGATGAACTATTCCAACCATTGAATTGGAAGAGTTCAAATGTGTCTTTAGGGGTGAATGAGTTAAAGCAGCATTGATAAAAATCATGCAACGATCCCAGAATTATCTTCCGGTTTATTTGTTTTTTTTAATTATTTGTTACAAAAAATATTGCAATTGGGCTTACCTGTAATGTTTGTCTAAACAAACTTGTTTTTCTTTTTCTCAAAACTCTAGGGCTTTGCTTTAGTTCATTTGGTAGCCATATTGCGTATAAAACTTTGAGGTTTGTGTTAAGTTTACTTGATTTGCACTGGAAATGACGTTTTATCAACGGATTTGTTTATCCTTGACCTAATTACTGGGACGTCGGCTAAATGTCCAGCTGCTGACAACAATGATGATATGACTTTCTGTAACAGCAAATCTCGGGTCTGTAAAGATGGGGTGAGTCTACATATGATATAATATCACATTCTTAAAATCCGTATTTTTCATGAACAAATTTACGAAGGATGCACAGAGGGTTTAATCTACATAAAGAACACAAACTTATTTATAAATCTTAAAGTGATACACTGGCCAGTAATAGTTTAACCTTTCTAAAGAAATTTTGAGGTTGATTACAAACTATAGAAGTAATTTATAGCTGTGTTTCCATCCCATACTTGCCAACTGAAGGTTACACATGCTCAGAATTAAAAACATAACTAGAATGTGTGTATGTCACCCCTTGGGAGATAATAACCTTTTAGATGGCATCGTTTAAGCTATTCTTCCAAGTGTGGTCATCAGATCTTAGAAAATCACTGTATGGCACTTCATGATCCTACAAGTTGACTAATGTTGGCCCCCTGTCAGGTTGATCTTCTCTGTTCTTGGCTTAGGGGCATTGAAGATAGCGAAGTTGATCTGATGGACCAAATACAATAGTTTGGATATTTTGGATTTTTTCACATTAGAAATATACAATTTTAGGTGTTCAAATCGGGAGTCTCCCTCCAAATTAAGGAGAGTTGGCAAGTATATATGTATGTCACCCTTTGTAATTTAGAAACAGAAAAATTGGCTGATTTTAAATTTAAATCTAATTTGTATTTCAGGTTTGTTCAGAATCCCTTTGTAGGCGTATTGGCTATGGAGCGGGAAATCCAATTTCTGAGTACGAAGAATGTTTCGGGAGTACGGGCAGCGACAACAAGGAACAGATGTGCTACTTGTCATGTCGTAAGTACATTGTTTCCAGGACCAAAAGCAATTCTAGTTTCTATCCTCATTGCCTTAGGTCAAAAATAAAAATGTATGTTTCAGGTACCCCACCAACCCTCACAATTTTATCTCGCCCTAATTAATGTACTTGAATGTTCCATTGGAACGTACCGAAAAATCCTTAGTCTTAAGTATATTGTTTCCAGGACCAAAAGCAATTCTAGTTTCTGTCCTCATTGCCTTAGATAAAAAATAAAAATGTATGTTTCAGGTACCCCACCAACCCTCACAATTTTATCTCACCCTAATTAATGTACTTGAATGTTCCATTGGAACGTGCCGACAAATCCTGAATGTCTTTATGGCACCTCTCAATTCCATAGGCAGGTATCAAAGCCAACATTTCAATCCCTTATTATTATTGAAAAGACCTGAAGATATAATAAAAAATGAATACAATTGGTTTAAATAACTATATATGTTTGGTGATTTTTATAATTTCTTAAATGATCCCCCCTCAAAATAAAAAATAAATTAAAAAGAAAGGAAGGAAACTGTACCAACCAACTCTATTTTGTAGCTGTCATATCACCTGTCACATGCTTATTTTCATTTTTGGCCTTTTCAATATTGTTCCGATGATTTACTAGATTTTAACGGACATGTCCTTACATCAAGCAGGTTTTTGCGGAAATTCACTGTATGGCACTTCATGATCTTACAAGTTGACTAATGTTGGCCCCTTGTCAGGTTTATCTTCTCTGTTCTTGGCTTAGGGGCATTGAAGATAGCGAAGTTGATCTGATGCACCGAATACAATGGTTTGGATCTTTTGGATATTTCACGTTAGAAATATACAATTTTTTTCTGCCATTTTTTGAAGTAGAAGCGAGACTTGGGTACAAACTACTACACGTTGCTTTTCCGGCGACGGCGCGTCAACGATAAGTTTCTTGCATTTAAGTTAGTTTCACTGAAAGTATATATAAGCGCTAGACCAACCAAACTTGGACATCATCTTTGGTAGTACATCTCAACCCATGCATCAAATACTGGGTGTGGCCTACCTTTCATGGTCCATTGATTTTGTCAGCTTCTCCATCAACATTAAGTTTTTGCATTTAAGTTAATTAGTTTCTCTGACATGTGCATTGATGTTCAAAGCGGAGCATAGGCGAGACTAATAGAATCTCTCACCCCCTTGGGGCGAGACTAATAGAATCTCAACCCGAGGGGTGAAATAGGGGAATCTCAACCCGAGGGGAGAGATAGGGGAATCTCAACCCGAGGGGGGAGATAGGGGAATCTCAACCCGAGGGGAGGAGATAGGGGAATCTCAACCCGAGGGGGGAAGATAGGGGAATCCCAACCCGAGGGGGGGAGATAGGGGAATCTCAACCCGAGGGGGGAGATAGGGCAATCTCAACCCGAGGGGGGAGATAGGGCAATCTCAACCCGAGGGGGGAGATAGGGGAATCCCAACCCGAGGGGGGGGATAGGGGAATCTCAACCCGGGGGGGGAAATAGGGGAATCTCAACCCGAGGGGAGGAGAAAGGGGAATCTCAACCCGAGGGGAGGAGAAAGGGGAATCTCAACCCGAGGGGGGAAATAGGGGAATCTCAACCCGAGGGGAGGAGAAAGGGGAATCTCAACCCGAGGGGAGGAGAAAGGGGAATCTCAACCCGAGGGGGGAGAAAGGGGAATCTCAACCCGAGGGGAGGAGAAAGGGGAATCTCAACCCGAGGGGGGAGGTAGGGGAGGGGGAGATAGGGGAATCTCAACCCGAGGGGGGGGATAGGGGAATCTCAACCCGAGGGGGGAGCTAGGGGAATCCCAACCCGAGGGGGGGGGATAGGGGAATCTCAACCCGGGGGGGGAAATAGGGGAATCTCAACCCGAGGGGAGAGATAGGGGAATCTCACCCCGAGGGGAGGAGATAGGGGAATCTCACCCCGAGGGGGGAAATAGGGGAATCTCAACCCGAGGGGGTAGATAGGGGAATCTCAACCCGAGGGGGCGAGATAGGGGAATCTCAACCCGAGGGGAGGAGAAAGGGGAATCTCAACCCGAGGGGGGAAATAGGGGAATCTCAACCCGAGGGGAGGAGAAAGGGGAATCTCAACCCGAGGGGAGGAGAAAGGGGAATCTCAACCCGAGGGGGGGGTGTTAGGGGATTCTCAACCCGAGGGGGGGGAGATAGGGGAATCTCAGCCCGAGGGGGGGGAGATAGGGGAATCTCAGCCCGAGGGGGGAGATAGGGGAATCTAAACCCGAGGGGGTGAGATAGGGGAATCTCAACCCGCGGGGGGGGAGATAGGGGAATCTCAGCCCGAGGGGGGGGAGATAGGGGAATCTCAACCCGAGGGGTGAGATCTTCAGTTGCCAAACACAGGGCTGGAATTCTTTTTCTCCTACCCTGTTCTCCCATTGTGTACACACAATGTAATGATAACGTTACATGCTAAATTCAGGGTCGACTTGACGTTAATGGATTTGTTGACGTGACGTTATTGTATTGTTGAGGTGACTTCATACCATTGTAATGAATAGGGGAATCCCCCCCCCCCGCCGTCTCAACCCTAGGGTGAGACAAGGATATCTCACACCAGTAAAGGTGCGGATACACCTGTCCAGGGTAAGAGACAAGGTAAAAGTGTGGATACACCTGAGAAATAACAATCCAAATGGCTTGTTATATGTGTTGATTTGTGTTTCAGAGAGGAAGAACTCTACAGAATGTATAAGCTCGGCTGACATTACTGCTGAATCCCCACACACAGGCTTTAAAGATTTACTCATGGCCATCAACGGAGGATTAGATAAAATCAAACTACAAGCAGGTCAGTCTACAAATTTCTGACCTTGTCAAACCTCTGACCTTGTCAAACCTCTAACCTTGTCAAACCTCTAACCTTGTCAAACATCTGACCTTGTCAAACTTTATATTGTAATAACTCTTTGCAGAAAATATTTAGTCCTTCTTCATTTCACAGAGAAAAATCTATGACTTACTTGGATTTTAACTTAGTTTGTGGGTGTTTTCTTGCATCTTTATTTGATCCAGGTCCATGCTTACCAACTATTTGAAATTTCCATTAGGGAGATTCTGCATGCTCAAAATTAAAACCTGAATAAAATGTATGTTTAAACCCCCTAGAGACAAAACAACCCTGTAAAATGTCATATTTTGATTTGTTCTTTAAGTTGAAATCATCGGATCTTAGGAAATAGGAATAGTTAAGCAAATTCACTTGTTAAAAAACAAAATTTAAGGGTCCCAAATCGGGAGTCTCCATCCTAAATAAGGAGGGTTGGCAAGTACGCAATTAAGTCACAACAACATTTAGATGTTTTTACTCCCCAATTTGTAACACAAAAGATTCATTGATTTATTTCTTGCAAGGTATGATTTTGTTGAATAATTTCTCCTTTTAGATGCTTTGTAACAAGAACTGCAGAAAATACTATTTTCTTAAAAAAAGAAGAAGTTAGTAAACAGTACAAAATATTTGCATACATTTGTTTACAATGATTTTAGTTTTGAGATTTGGTGTAATTTTTTCGATGGATTTTCTATAATTTCAGGTTCACCGTGTGATAATTACAGAGGATACTGCGACGTCTTCCATAAATGTCGCGGAATAGATAACGATGGCCCTCTTGCTCGTCTTAAAAATCTTATCTTTAACGAGAAAACATTACAGAAAATTAAAACCTGGATTGTGGTAAGTTTGTACCTCAGTATTTTGTCAAAATTTGCTCTAATTTACGAAAATGTTAGGTTCAAATAATTTTGTAGGTGTTAGGTATATTTGTAAAGGGTTTTGTTTCTTTGGCATTTTACATCCTATTAATAGCTATGGGCCCACTTGTATAAAACATCTCAAAGTTAAGGAAAATCTCAAGCAATGTATTATTGTCTATAGGAAATCTTAGACTTTAGGAAATCTCAAGAGTTGAGATGTTTTATACAAGTGGGCCATGGTCATTTATGGAAGCACCAGGTTTTGGTGGTGGAGAAAACCCAGAGTGCCTGTAGAAAAAACACTGACCTGCATATTTACAAAAAATGTTACCGTATTTTACCGCCAATAAGCCCCCTCCCCACTTTGGTAAATGTCCTGGGAACAGGGTGGGTGCCTGCAATTAAGCCCCCTCCCTAATTTAATAAAATTGAATTATCGAGACAAATAGATGATAGAAAATAAGTTAAGAAAAACAACAGCACCATCAACTAATCAACTTTTGGTGACTGTTATAAAATATGCTGTCTGTGAGTTGTTATTTTAACAACATGAACAACTACAGTGGATAAGTACAAGATGTTTAGTGTGGTCATAGATCAAAACAGTGGTATATATCCAAGATGGCAGACATTTGTGAACAGGGGGGTTGCTTGCAGTTAAGCCCCCTCCAAACTTTTGGCCTATCTTTTTTCTCAGGAGAGGGGGGGGGGGGGCTTATTGGCGGTAAAATACAGTAATGGGATATGTACACAATCACCTTCTCGTCAACATCTTAAAGAGATAGATATTGATGGATTCGCATTATTGACTCAAAAGTTAAAAAAAAAGACGAGTACAGTCTTCAGGCATTGATGTTGAATAGAAGTATAGGTGAGCTGAAAGTTATTTTTTTCCCCGTGATTAACGACCTTTATTCTGTTGAACAGGAGTATTGGTGAGATGATTTAACCTCTGAAAGTTATTTTTCCCCGTGATTAACGACTTTTATTCTATTGAACAGGAGCATTGGTGAGCTGATTTCACCCCTGAAAGTTATTTTTTCACTTGATTAACAACCTTTTTTCTGTTGAACAGGAGTATTGGTGAGCTGATTTCACCCCTGAAAGTTATTTTTCACCATGATTAACAACCTTTTTAGGTCACCTGAGCTTTGCTCAAGTGACCTATTCCAATCGCTTTTCGTCCGTCGTCGTCCGTCGTGCGTCGTGCGTCGTGCGTCGTGCGTCGTGCGTAAACTTTTACATTTTCAACTTCTTCTCAAGAACCAGTGGATGGATTTTTTCAAACTTGGTCAGAATCATCCTTGGTAGATGAGGCTTCAAAATTGTAAAATTGGGATTCCTACCCCCACCCCTGGGGCCAGGGCGGGGCCCCAAAGGGAAAATTATCCAATATTTCAAAAATCTTCTTCTCCAGACTCACAGGTACTACAGTGATTTTCTCTACGTGGAAAGAAAGATCATCAGGCGCTTTACTTAAATTGTAAATTTCAGGACCCCCGAGCTATCCGTTCTCCCTTGGGGAGGGGGTAAAGTTTACTATAGTTTATATAGGGAAATAACACTTTTGGGTATATTTTGACAACTTTCTGTAGGAAATTATTTTTACTTGGTGAGAATTATCCTTGGAGGTAGATGGTTTCAAATTGTAAAATTGAGATTCCTACCCCGACCCCTGGGGCCAGGGCGGGGCCCCAAAGGGAAAATTAATCAATATTTCAAAAATCTTCTTCTCCAGACTCAGAGGTACTACAGTGATTTTCTCTACGTGGAAAGAAAGATCATCAGGGGCTTTACTTAAATTGTAAATTTCAGGACCCCCGAGCTATCCGTTCTCCCTTGGGGAGGGGGTAAAGTTTACTATAGTTTATATAGGGAAATAACACTTTTGGGTATATTTTGACAACTTTCTGTAGGAAATTATTTTTACTTGGTGAGAATTATCCTTGGAGGTAGATGGTTTCAAATTGTAAAATTGAGATTCCTACCCCGACCCCTGGGGCCAGGGCGGGGCCCCAAAGGGAAAATTAATCAATATTTCAAAAATCTTCTTCTCCAGACTCAGAGGTACTACAGTGATTTTCTCTACGTGGAAAGAAAGATCATCAGGGGCTTTACTTAAATTGTAAATTTCAGGACCCCCGAGCTATCCGTTCTCCCTTGGGGAGGGGGTAAAGTTTACTATAGTTTATATAGGGAAATAACACTTTTGGGTATATTTTGACAACTTTCTGTAGGAAATTATTTTTACTTGGTGAGAATTATCCTTGGAGGTAGATGGTTTCAAATTGTAAAATTGAGATTCCTACCCCGACCCCTGGGGCCAGGGCGGGGCCCCAAAGGGAAAATTAATCAATATTTCAAAAATCTTCTTCTCCAGACTCAGAGGTACTACAGTGATTTTCTTTACGTGGAAAGAAAGATCATCAGGGGCTTTATTTAAATTGAAAATATCAGGACCCCGAGCTATCCGTTCTCCCTTGGGGAGGGGTTAACGTTTAATATAGTTTATATAGGGAAATAACACTTTTCGGTATATATTTTATATATTTTCAGCAGAAAATTGCTCAAACTTAGTCAGAATCATCTTGGGTAAATGAGAGTTTTACTTTGTAAAATTAGGATTCCTGCCCCATCCCCAGGGGCTAGAGCGGGGCCCCAAAGGAAACATTTACCAATATTTTCAAATTCTTATCCATTGATGACATGACAAGTATTGTATTTCACTTAGTTTACATGCTGATTTCCACATCACATCTAAACAATAAAATAAAGCTACCAGTATCTATGATATAACTCAGGTGACCGCTAAGGCCCTTGGGCCTCTTGTTTCTGTTGAACAGGAGTATTGGTGGGCTGTTATGATGATGGCTCTGTGCCTCGTTGTTCTGATGGGGTTGTTTATAAAAATCTGTGCTGTTCACACTCCGAGTAGTAATCCTAAGGCCAAACCAGCGTTGCGTATCACTGACACACTCCGGCGTCGCCGACGCCCTCCACCTCAACAGACGTATGCGCCAAGCTCACAGCCCCTACAGTCCTACCAGCAACCACCAGCGCCTGCAGGCTATGTAAATGTAAGTTTATTTCAGTCATACCTGACGTGTTTCATATTTATGTTCTTTCTTAAAATCTCTGTTGACTAATTGTATTAATAAGCATGTATTTACATTTTCTCTGCATCCTTCCATTGTAATGCATTGCGAAGGCAAATGTTGTTATGAGACTATAACAACATTTGCTATCGTAACGTCATCAATCTCTATTGTGATGTCATTAATTTCGTTGTTGTCAACACTTCATTTGTGGTCCAAAAACTGTTTGAAATAACCAAATAAAGCATAATTGCTCAATCAAAATGTAAATATAAGTAATGAATATTTTAGCAAATATTGTTATGGTCCTATAACGCACATTTCTATTGCTGCCAAACTTACATAAAATCCTGCCGGGCTTTATTAAGTTTGTCATCAATAGCAGTGTGTGTTATAGGACCATAACAACATTTGTTCTATACTAAAATTATTGTTAGCAATATGCTCTGTAATATATATAGGGCACACACAATTTAATTTGTTTTATATATATTTATATTTTTGCTCTGTATTAAAATTGTTGTGGAATGGTTATCATACATTAATATATTTTAACAATAATTTAATTTAATTATAATTATAATAACAATAATAATATAACGAACAATAATTCGGAGGCACAGTAGTCAAGTGGTAGGACGCCGGGCTTGTGGCCGAAGGGTTACAGGTTTGAGTCACGGCATGGCACTGTGTTGTATCTTTGAGCAAGATACTTTACTTCACTTGTTCCAGTCTACTCAGCTGTAAATGAGTATGTTGTTCGGCAGTGCTATAATTGTTGAATGCTAGCAGTTAGCGTCGAAATGGCAGCATAGGCTGTATACTCCCCAGGGAGTTGAGAAAGATATTGTCTGGTTGCAAACTCCCTATAACCACGGATAATAATTTGTGAACTGCTTTGAGACAACCTACGAACTAGTTTGTGATAAAGCGGTAAATATTCATACAAAGCAAGCTGCATATTTGTGTGTTCTAGCTACATAAAACACAATTTGGATTGTTTATGTAGTATTTTTAAATTATTCCAAACTCAGATACATACACAATGAATGTCATAGTATACCAATCTGCTCTATGAGATAGGGCACACTGATATAAAACTCTTTGTATATGTTTATATTTGTGTGGTCTGTATTATAATCAATGATGGTTGGTTATGTAAAAATAAGACTAATTAATCAAACCCAAGTATGATAGCCGCTTCCCATTGACACGGCTAGGGGGAATTTCTCTTTAGCTCATTCAGTAGAGCGTAAGACTAGTAAACCAGAGGTCCCGGGTTCGATCCCTAGTAGAGGCATTGACAAATTAATTACTTTTGTTACATTGGTGCCCATGTAGAGACCTGGGAAATATTGTTAAATTACCTAGCGATATTTTTAAAAGAATCCCTACAACCCCCTGGAAAATTCAGGACATGTTGTTTTTCCTGAAGGGGAATATGATAAAATAGTAAAATACTAGCCGCTTCCTACTAACTCAGCTAAGGAGAATTTCTCATTAACTCATTTAGTAGAGAGAGGGCTGGTAAACCAAAGGTTGTGGGTTTACTAGCTGATGGAGGCTTTGAAATATGGAATGACCTTTGTTACTTTGATGTGGCGTTTAATTTCACAAATTTAAAATGCATCACAATGTTTCCAGGTTATTGAAATGTTCAGGGACTTTCTCATGCCATACAATATCTTTTTTTATCTCAACATATTTACTTATTTCATGACTTTGAATGACTTTTTGTTTGCTTAGATCTCATCATTTCTTTTTGTATTCTGAATGCATACTAAGGTAGAATGTATAAGTTAGCATTCTAGGTCACTGTTACTATAAATAGAAACATTGCTGTTCAGTGATGTCATTGTTCTAGCAACTTAATTTGTGGTCGGCTTTCCATAAAACCTAATACAGAAGGTGGTGAAGTACTTAAAATAGTTTACATACAAGTATGCAAAGTCAAGGTCAGAATTACTATAAATAGAGAGAACCAGCTAGCTAGGGGTCATTTGTTGTGACATTGTACAAAGGTCAAAGTGATAAATATTGGCATCATTATGAGGTTTTATTGTAAAGTGATAAATATTGGCATCATTATGAGGTTTTATTGAAAAGTGGTAAATATTGGCATCATTATGAGGTTTTATTGTAAAGTGATAAATATTGGCATCAATATGAGGTTTTATTGTAAAGTGATTAATATTGGCATCAATATGAGGTTTTATTGTAAAGTGATAAATATTGGTATTATTTTGAGGTTTTATTGTAAAGTGATAAAGATTGGCATCATTTTGAGGTTTTATTGTAAAGTGATAAATATTCGCATCATTATGAGGTTTTATTGTTAAGTGATAAATATTAGCATCATCATGAGGTTTTATTGTAAAGTGATAAATATTGGCATTATTTTGAGGTTTCATTGTAAAGTGGTAAATATTGGCATTATTTTGAGGTTTTATTGTAAAGTGATGAATATTGGCATCATTATGAGGTTTTATTGTTAAGTGATAAATATTAGCATCATCATGAGGTTTTATTGTAAAGTGATAAATATTGTCATCATTATGAGGTTTTATTGAAAAGTGGTAAATATTGGCATCATTATGAGGTTTTATTTTAAAGTGATAAATATTGGCATCATTATGAGGTTTTATTGTTAAGTGATAAATATTAGCATCATCATGAGGTTTTATTGTAAAGTGATAAATATTGGCATCATTATGAGGTTTTATTGTAAAGTGATAAATATTGGCATCATTATGAGGTTTTATTGTAAAGTGATAAATATTGGCATCATTATGAGGTTTTATTGTAAAGTGATAAATATTGGCATCATTATGAGGTTTTATTGTTAAGTTATAAATATTGGCATTGTTATGAGGTTTTATTGTAAAGTGGTAAATATCGGTATTATTATGAGGTTTTATTGTTAAGTGATAAATATTGGCATTATTTTGAGGTTTTATTGTTAAGTGATAAATATTGGCATTATTTTGAGGTTTCATTGTAAAGTGGTAAATATTGGCATTATTTTGAGGTTTTATTGTTAAGTGATAAATATTGGCATTATTTTGAGGTTTTATTGTTAAGTGATAAATATTGGCATTATTTTGAGGTTTTATTGTAAAGTGGTAAATACTGGTATTATTACGAGGTTTTATTGTAAAGTGATAAATACTGGTATTATTACGAGGTTTGTTGTAAAGTAATGATTTAGTGACATCTATGTTTTAGTGTTTATTGATAAACCGAGGGACTTTGTAGAGAGTTAACTGGGTACTTTTAATCAAACCTTTGCCATTATATCAAGGTTTACTACGCACGTAAAAATGAGGGACATTATAATGAGATTTTACTATATCGTACAAATCAGGGACATTTTATCAAGATTTTACAACATAATAAAAACAAGGGGTATGGCATTGAAATTTTTAATAAAATGTTTACTATATAGTGATAAACGATGGGCATAACATTTAAGTTTTACCGTGTTAAATGTTTGGCATTATAATTAAATTTCATTTTTATGGAAAAATAGATGATGGTATTTATATTGAGGTTATATTGCATGTATTTAAAAAAAAAATGATGACTTGATAATTATTTCAGAATGCGATGAAAACAGACCGATTTTAGATGTTGTAAGCATGTATATAATTTTGTTGTCTGTTCTTTCCCATCCATGCATGTTCTGTTTTCTCTCACTTGGAACATATTTAGCTTTTAACCCTCAAAAATAATCTACACTTTTTGCTAGAGTTCCAAAGTGTGGGAATTTCTCTTGTGTTGGTCAATGAAATATAAGATAAACAGAAAAGATGGCAGATAGGGGTATGTTGTCCTTCAAGAATATACATTAAAGAAAACAATTTTCAAGATGGCCTCCATTTGATTTTCGACAATTTTGAACTTGGAAATAAAAACGATTTTCTAAAAATCAATATGGTCACCAGTGGCCATCTTGGAATTCATGAAAAAGTTACACAAGTGCTGTATGCCTTGAAGTATTGTTTTGACTTTCATAAAACTTTTGAAAAATTTGACATAAATCTATAGATCAACATGATGGCCATTACCAGCCAGTGATATTATTTCTCCGAATTCTTGTATTTTTATTTTATTTTTCAAATTGACAAATATGAACTAATGGAAATAATTATGCCCAATTTTGTGTGTTTAAATTAATGGTAGCATCAATGTTAGAATACTTTTAACTCATTCACTCCTGAAAACACATTTTAACTCTTCCAATTCAAGGGTTGAATAATTCATTATGAAATTTCAGGGGTGAATGAGTTACATTAATGACCTTCGCTTTCTGACCATGCATGTGCTTGACTGATCTGTAATTAAGGTAGTTTCTTCGTCTCCCGTCCTCTTGTACTCTAGATGGTCAAAAATCCCACGAAGACATGAAACAGATTGTAAGGCTTATTTTTTGTTTTTATTTTTATTTTGTTAATTTTTATTCACTTGATGAATTCTGTTATATCTTTCTAAAATAACGGCACATAACACAAAGCTTGAATCACATTAATTCGACTTCTGCTAAAATAACAAATAATGGCATTCAGCTACACAATGAAAATTCATTAAACTATTTGATCCTGGGAACTTTCGGCCCAACTTTGTGCACATACAAATGTAGTTCACTGCAGCAATGATAAATTGATAAGATTAATTAATGAGATGTTACCTCTTTTTGGTCTGATATATAAATACATATATGTAGGAACTACGTTTTTTTTGGTCTGATATATAAATACATATATGTAGGAACTATGTTTTTTTGGTCTGATATATAAATACCTGGTACATATATTTAGGAACTATGTTTTTTTGGTCTGATATATAAATACATATATGTAGGAACTATGTTTTTCATAAATATCATGAGAAGAATCTGTTGCATGCAAAAAATAGTAAATTTATTGTAAACAGATGTACGTTGCTAAACTTTATTTTTAATATGAAGATTTTATCCACAGCGA